GCACTGAGAGTAGGCACCAAGCACTTTTCTTCTGAAGTGATCTCAAATCCCTGATGCTGCAGAGTGTTTTGTGCTCAGCATGCCTATGGAGCAGTGAGAATGCAGTGCTCTGAGTTTTTGGTTAGCAATTGCTGCCTGACTGCTTGTCTCCATCTCATCTCACCCAGGAGACAGTTTGGGACTTTTCACCAGCAGCTATTCAAGATCGGACCTTGTCTGTGGGCGTACTGAGGCAGAATCATGAACCAAACCAATGACTCTCAGGAGTGATGCTGTTTTTCCCACCACCTCCCACAAGAAAGGCTGACCCACACACTCCCTGCTAAGTCCTGGCCTGTGATAAGCTGAAATTTCAGCCTCATGGTGAAGAAGCATGTCCCCAGGCAAAGCTTGCATCCTTTCTGGATACGAGAATACAGCCACTGGCCCAGCAGCCCCACAGGCACAATATGTGTCATCTCCCTTGCGTTTAAGTAAAAGAGAAAAGCTCTGTAAATGGCAATATTTGAGGACCAGAATATTTATTATAATAAGTTAAAGAGTAAGCATTTATAAAACAAACCATTTGCATATAAATATCACACAGCAGTTTTAATTTCATAGTTCATTTAAAAGCCTCTAGTACAGCTTCATAAATACATTTCCTTGGTCATTTTTCAATTAATCTATATAAATAAAAGTACTGTATAATTATTACTTTAAAATAAGTTACCATTAAATATGAATGACAAAAATAATTTCTGAATTAGTCTGAAATACCAACTTTTCAGGAAAAGGTCAGAAGGGGGCAACATATGTAAGAGAGATTTCCAAGTAAAAGGCTCAAAACATCCTGGCTACATATCACTGCCTACCTTGACCAAAGCTGATTCACAGGTGTCAAATCTCAGCCTATAAAATACAGAAGCAGTTGCTTTATTCCAATGGAGATGAGGAGGTCAGGAGCATGCCTTTGAAAATAATTAATGCCCTGTGTTGAAATGGAACTGCAAACACTGTCCTGGAGTTTTCATTTTCAAAGAAGGCAGCAATATTCTTCCTGTCTGTGCCCACATAATTTGCTATTTTTGGCACAGGTAAAAAAGTATACCGCATCTACGGAGCAGGGGTGAAGTCCACAATAATTAATCAATTTGCGTTATAGCAAGAGTTTTTCGGAGACATCTCCTCAAGCCTGATCTGAAATACTTTCAGTTTTTCTTCTTGTTCCCTCCCTTCTTTGGGGCATCAGTACAGGCATTTTCTATGTAGTCAAACAGTAAATCCAGTTCTCCAATGGCTTTAGTCTTTCCATTCTCTCCCAACTAGAAGAGAGCAGAATGCAAGTTTTAGCATCTCGTTATTTCTCAGAAAACCGAAATTAGGCTTGTCACAGAAACTGAATCAAGAATTTACTCTCCTTATTCTCTCAAGTAGTTCTGTTAGAGTCATTATACCATAAGATATAAACTAGCTCATTCAAATCCAGCCTAGCATATACAGTTACCTGCAACCTGATTTCTGAAGGACAATTTTAAATTACCACAACACATGCAGAGTGTTAATAGGACAAGTGAAGGAGGGCTGGAAGTGGAAACATCACTAATCCCCTCTTTAATGCCCCTGCAGGCTTCATCTTCTAAATAATCTCCAGAGTTTGTTTCATAATTAGGTCAGCCTTAATCCAACTCAATGACAGGGGTTTGGAACTGCTCTTTTTAAGCATTGGGAAAAAATGTACCTGTTTCATTTTGCTCTTCATTTCTTCCAGGTTCTTTTCAATGTGCTCTCTGTGTCCTGAGAATTTCTAAAAAAAGAAAACACGCAGACATAACATTGGCAGCTATATGCAACAGTGTGCTTCCCTCTCCCCCCGCCCCTTTCTATCAACCTTGAGTTTGACATTTTTGATCTGAGGTTTCCTTTCATATCACTGCCTTTTGCCACTGTTTGCAGCATTCTGAGATACAGGAACAGCGACAAGAGTCACAAGAAGGGAAAGAAACCCAACGCCACTCACACATCTGCTCAGCTCCGAGGTCAGGGATGCCAAGAACTGTGCCACCTCCTCAACGTATGGGTACTGGTCCTTGGCCTCGGTGAGGAGGACATCTTTCACTACAATCTCGACAATCCTCTTCATCATATAGCAGCGGTTGTTTTCCTATGTATGCAATTAAGAGGTCATGTTAAATCATGGCAAGAGATCAACAAGTGCTGCAGAAGGATGCAAAGATCAGCCTCCTGGTGTAAGACTTACCTTGATGTTAAGATAGAGCTGTTGCCCAATGAGCCTGTTGTCCGTGTCCTGGTCCAAGACCCTGGCCTGAGAGGGAAAAAAGGAAATGTCAGGTGGGATGGGAACCTTACCTAAAAATTAATAATAAACCCTAAGGTTTTCATCAATAATAGTGCAGGTGAAATGAGGAAATGGACACCATAGACAGCCTGTTGCAGGTAGATAAGGTTGGACATTGTGTCTGTTTCTCCCCTTAATTGGGTGAGATTCAAGGTCAGTATCGCTGGAAAATAACTAAGCAGAAGTCTGAATTCCTGCCCCCCTCTTAAATGTCAGATGTCATAGTGGTTATGATGACTAAACCAGATGCCGCAGGTGGCCGACCTCACGGCAGCCCGCAGCGCTGCAGCACTCGATGGCGCACACGAGGGGGACCCACCCATGGTAAGAGCAGCCAAGAAACCTGCCCAAGCAGAGCACTGTAAGATGCCTGAGGAGCTGCCTGGCCACGGCTGGAGTCACGGGCAGGCTCCAAATGGACTGGGCAAACAGAGAAATTTAAGTTCATTTTTCATAATTGTCCCAGTCTAGCAGCAGCCGCTCAAGAGAAGGAGCTGTGCTGTGCCAGGGGCTGCCTTTCCCCTGAGGAGCAGGGGGAGGAGAGGCAGCAGCTTCCCCCAGATACACAACCAGCAGGCAACAGACCCACTCCACACGCCCAAGCTCTGCCTTACTGCAAATGCACGTTTTTTCTGGAGAAAGGCACGTGAAGGAGAGAG